GTCGGGGCAAAGGGTAATCAAAGGTTATGTGTGAGGCATCCTTGTTGCACTCAATTAAGATGGGCTATACCTGGACGGAGAGCCAGTCGAGTAGTCAGAGAGTCGCTGCAGGGGGCGCTAATTGACAGCAGCGAAGGAAAGAGATAGCGAATGAGAGCTGGAAAGAACGAAACCTTGCTTATCTTTCGGCCAAAAAACTACATACATATATACTGAAAATACGCAACAATAAAATCAAATCGAAAAAAAAACTATACAAGAATTTTTAGCTGTCTATGCTCGACGCCAGGGCAGAAATAGCTTGAGACGCAGTGCATCCACGCCGTTCATGTAGTAGCGCAACAGGCGCTTCTCGCGTATGAAGCCCAGACTCTCGTACAGGCGCAGCGCCGCCTTGTTGGTCAACTCCGTCTCCAGGACGATCTCATCCGCATTGAATGACTGCATTGACTCGACCGCCTTGGCGACGAGCGTGGTGCCAATCTTCAACAGGCGATAGGCAGGATCCACGGCCAGCATCGCTATATATCCCTGGAGAATGCAGCCCAGTGACTCCAGCTTACACACGATGACCCCCACGTAGCGCTCCCCATGCCGAGCGAATATGCAGAGCTCTGGCCAATTGTAGACGAAGTAGCGATACGTATAGATGGAGTACGGCTCCGATAACTCCTTGTCGATCAGACTCTGTATGGCCTTCAGCTCGGACTCGTCATTGAAATTGGTGTACGTAATCTTTGGCGGCTCTCGCTCCACCTGCGCAGCCGGGGCAGCGTTTTCCTCTTCGTTCATCGTTCAAAACATTTTATTCGGAAATACGCAAAACAAAACGTTTTCGTAAATAACGACTCTAAATTGAAGCATACGGCTCGACAATCGGAGTCGAAAACGGAGTTCGAATTGACATTCAGTTGACTCGTGGGGCGTCGCATATCCTGGCAATTAGGCGGCACACCCAATCGGGACGGGGTATACCCCGTTACGTGGACAACTCAACACGCAAACGCTTGGGATTTTGGCATGTGATAATAGCTGGGAGAGAGAGAGAGAGAGAGAGCAATGAGCAGTAGCTCGACTAGCAGATACTCCATAGAGTTTACTAAATTTGAGTGCGAATAAAAGTATCATTAGCTGTTCATATGGGTAACGAGGCGAAAGTAAAGGCAATGTTAAATCCACAAGCACATCAAAGCTACTCTAATGTTCCAGCACATCATACCCTCTTGGCAGCCCCATTTGCAGGGGTTGCTTATGAAAATGTCTGCGACAGCTTTTTTCTGCGACCCTCCCTCTATCTTGAGGCAAATCCTTTGTTGTCTGCGCCAGCATACAGGAACGCCACCGCCCAAATTGCCAGGCGGCACGCACAGGTGCTGTCGCTGTCGCTGTGGCCGTCGCCGTCGCCAGCGGCGCCTCCTGCGCAAGTGAAAAACAAAAATTGAGTCCAAGCTGAAGTTTGGAGGGGTGGCAAGTGTTTGACAGCGTGGTTCTGGCCCCAATGAGCTCATATGGCTTGGTCAGCAAAAGGACCTCGGCTGCAGCCAAAGGTTCTAATAGCAATTAAGCTAAAAGCCCACGCAGTCCGCTGTAGAAATTCAATATGACGGTGCCCGTGGACGCTATTCGAGAGGGGGGGTCGGCCGACCCATAGATTAGATGCGGCCCGCAGCACTTTGATTTCTCCTCCTGACAATGGGTTGAGGGCAGAGCACCCAGCGCTAATTTGTTTATCCTGGCCAGCTCCTTTTTAGCTCCCAGCCTATACAAATGAAATCCTTGTTTGTGGTTACAGTGGCCAGGCCTCATTATATACTCATTGCTGTCCCCCGTACCTATATACACTTTGTAGAGCCGGGAGTCCATTGTCCCGTGTCCTTTGGCAGCGAGGTCAAGCGGCCAGGCTTTCTTTTTCAGTGGACGGCTGGACGGCACTTCGGCTAAGGACTTCCGTTTTTTCGCCATGCATATTCAGGTTGCAGAAATTAATTGTAGCATAAGGGCATAAGGACTCTCATGGCTGCCAGGACAGTGCCAGGGCACTTAATGAAGCGTTTAGCGGTACCAAAATAAAAGAATGCTGGGAAATAGAAAGTGCTTGGCATGCCAGTAAAAATTTCCATATTCAAGCGAGATAAATGGCGGCATCCTGCCCAGGCCCAGGCCCAGACCCAGGCTTTGAGCCCTGCTACACCTGAGCTGCAGCAGTTTATTATAAAGTTAACTGCAAATGGCTTCGCGTTCTGGTCTACTACAATATATATTTTTGACAGTTACACGCGAGACCTTTTGATAAGCAGGCATCGAACATGGACTGCAGTTGTCTGCAATTCGCTGTATTCCACTGTCGCAGATAAAGAGCTCCTCCATCCCCGGTCGCAACCCCAGTTGCAGCTCCAACTGTGAGTTACTTTTCCACTGGCCATGGCTGTCAACGCAGAAACAAAGGCCCCAGCCACGGCCCAAATGCAGGTTGATTCGCGTGGGACGCACAAGTCCGCACTTTACATGGCCATCAAGTGCGTTCCTCCTCGTTCCCTTCGGCTGACCGCTGCATTGTTCGCCTCTTCGATGGCATTCCTGCCGGACAGCTGGACAGCTGGACATGGCTGGACTGCATGTGCATGAATATGTCAATGTAATGATCTCTGTCTTCGTTGTTGTGCTTCTTCTTCTTCCACGTATCTGCTGAATTACATAAATATTAACTTGTACTTTTTACAAACATGTTTGCGCTGCCCAGCCAATGCGGAGGACAGGGCTCGGCTTGCCTTCACCTTCAGCTGCAGCTCCAGCTCCAGCCTCGAGCTCGAACTCCTCTGGTCTCTTTCATATTGATATGATTTATTTACTGGCTCATCCCATGTTCCACAATTCACTCTAAACTCAATTAAATGCCGATTGTTAGTTCATTTGATCTAGCTGCTAGTTTCACCATTAAATTCCTCCTTATATTAAATGATTTATTTGCTCAGCGCTTGAAGTTTAATATCTGTGTCTCAGTTCATTTGATCCAGCTCCTACTGCTCCGACCCTTTCTGGTGAGACTCATAGAATCGTTATAGAAGTAATACTATGATTGGAACCAACGCCTGAATAAGAGATTTATTCTTGTAGTGTTTCCCCAACGGATTTGTAGTTCCATTTGACGTCATTTATAATCGTTGGCAAGCAGGGCGCGTGCATCAACAAATTAACGCGCCCAACATTAATCACGACGACAATTGAATCCTTTGTCCAAGCAGCGCGAGTCAGCCATTTCTTTTTTGTCGCCCTATTTCCAGGACAGTTTATTTGCTTATATCATTTTGGCCATTCGCATTGGACTCGTTGCGCCTTTATACATTTTTGTTGTTGCTGCTGTTTTTGTGTGTGACGAATGACTAACGGTGAAATATGCTCAAACAAACATAAATTCGTGTCCGCTGGGATTTGTTAACTGCAGAAGGAACATGTCAATGGGAACTGGTTCGCGCTCGGAGTTTGGGGGCAACTGTGAGTGAGACGTTGCCGTCACAAGCATAAAAAAGACGAGAGCAGAATAAAAAACAAAAACACAAAACAAAAAAAGAGTTTCAGCAAAAAGCCAAGCTGCAACGCTTTGTTGACAGCAGTTGGGTGGAGGAGAAGGATGAGGGGCCGTAGCAGGTGGCAGCTGACAGGTAGCCTTGTAGCAGGTGCGTGCACGAAACTGTCATGAAAATTCTACAGTTTTTCGCATTTCACTCGCAAAGCAAAGAAAAGGCAAACAAAGCTTCTGATACAGATGGATGGATGGAAGGATGGATACATGTTAAGTTCTTTTTATCGCACTATGAAATTTTTAAAACTTTGCGTGTATTGCAAATGACATATGTACGGAACTATTTATACCTAGATAACATCCAACAATATCAAATATAACGACTTACCTCCGACATCTATCCTGTTGGCATTGTGCATATGCTTTTTCTGCATTTTCGAATTAAAATTAACTTTTAACAAAAAGCTGTTTACTTTGGTTTATGACTTCACTGAAAAAAGTGTGACTGCATCGAAAACACTTAAGCCTTTCTGGCAACACTAGCTCAGAATTTTGAAGTTAAAAGAGAATGCATAACAACACATTTGTTAGGATACATATACATACAATTTTTCTATATATAGTATGTGTAAATAAGTATGAAAAGCACTATCACTAATTTGTATTAATTGAACTAAAAATTCATTTTAATTAATATGTTTTATAGACTTCACAGTTAAATACCGAGCCGGGCCCTTGGACAACTGCGTAAGCCCTTTATTTGTCGCCAAAACTAGCAGTGTAGCCAGATTTCAAAAAGTGTGTATCATAACTTGAGCTGAGATCGCATATCGGCTTCCATCTGCGTCAAAACAGAATACGCAATATAAGAGTTTCATTTCGATCATTTTATTTTTATCTTAATTATGTACAAAATGTACAAAATACATAAATAGTGTAGTTGGTGCTGTTATTATTCACAAAAGCTGGCAGTAATCAGTTTTATTCTTTTTGTCTAAGGGCAGTTTGAATATTTATTATATACTATAAATTTTGAAACCGATTACACATCTTTATATAATTTTTACCAATTTCTGAGGTAGTCTTGAGAATAAAGTCATTCATTGTATATATGTAAGGCCTGCAGTGGGACAGTTCTGGAAAAATGTTGGAATACATCGGTTTCAATATAGCACTTATACATAATTCTCCTTACAGCTTACATTATTGAATTCAACTTGATTATCCATTTCGATTCTGCTTAAGTTTATAAAAAAGATCGTATTTCCTTGAGCATCAAGTTTTTAGCAGTTTATACATCTAATCAGTTCCAATTTGTTGTAAATATACTTTTTCTTATCATCGACTTCAACGATAATATGTTCGCATTGATTCTTTTCAAACATTTGTACTTTTAAACGTAAGAATCGAAAAGCGGAACGAATAGCGTTTGATAACGTATGGACGATTGTCTATATATATTATATGCTATACAAATACATATGTCGGAATGTCTGTACGTATATTGCACGCAATAAATGAATTTACAAAGAAACAGAGGAAAAAAAATCACGAAAAAAAAAAAAACATAACTTGTAAACTATAAACTTATTCACTGTCCAGTTGGAAAACGAATAAACCGAATAACAAAAAACTTCAACAAAAATCGATTTTGAACTTGATTTCCAGTTACACCTGGAAGTCATTAAAGTAGGTTTGGGTGAACCTGATCTTCTCCACGCGCATATTAAACAAAGTGACTCCATTTAGCACATTGAAAGCGACGGCGAACACAACAAGCGCTGTGTAGGTTCCCAATGCGATCCACCAGAGCAGTTGCTCGTGCAGCTTCTGCTCAAAGTTCTTTAGTACAAGCAATCCGATGGTCAAGCCTGCCACTGCGCCAGCCAAATGGGCCACGTAGGAGACAGCCGCTGGACTCACGGCCAGCTGCCCAGGTGGCAGGTCCTCGCCAGCATAGCGAGCATAAATGGCAAAGCCAAAGTCGAAAGAGGCTGCAAGAGCAAATGTTACAAGAAATCATGACATAAAAATCTTCGCTGTCCCTACCGAAAATCAATATAAATGCCAAACGTAGCACGCCGTAACGCATCTGATGGTAGTTAAGGAGCACATTGGCCAGATGCGCTGCCAGCAGTGCATAAACGCCGCCACTGGCGCCAACGAGAAACACCTCGGGATCAAAGATGCTGGTGCCCAGCGAGCCAGCCAGCACGCCCGAGAAGTAGATGCAGGCGATGCGCGACGATCCATGCACCATCTCCAGGGGCAAACCGAAGAGCAGCTGAACGGCCACGTTGAATCCCAAATGGAACCAGCCAGCATGCAACACCATATATAGAATAAAGCGCCAGATCTCGTGTCGCTTATCGGGACGATAAATGAACATGGAATCACTGGGTATGGGACCCGTTGGCGCCGCCTCTCCCGTGGCCAAGGTGTGATACACAAAGAAGCCCAGCTATAAATCGATTATAATATTCACTCCATTTCAATTGCGATTCAAATAAGAGAATCAAGTCAGCCCACCTCTACGATTGTGATCAATATAATGAAAAAGGGCGGCGGGCAGCATGTGTAGCGATCTGCATAATATTTACGATCGCGCTCCTCCGGCAGTACCTCCATAGCCACCGCATGGACCATCTTTTTAAAGAGCGGCGGCTCACTTATCACCAGCTGAAAGTCGTTCTCAGAGCAAACCTCACGATCTCGATGATGAACCGCACATTTGAAGCTGCGCGAACGCTTGCCGCTCATCTGAAAATAGATAATGGGGCATATGTACATACATATATATGTACATATATCAGAGAGAATAATGTAAAAAAGTTTACCTCGAAGACAATTGAAACATATTATTTGAAAACTAAGAACTAATATTTGTTGACCCGAACCGTTAGACAAGGTTACCTGTCAATCAGAGTCAGAGTCTAAGGAATCTCATAAGATAAATAGAACCCATGGTAAAAGCACCAGATTTCTTCACGTTCCAATTGGACCATATCTGCTGGCCAAAATCAGCAACAAAAATAATTCATTTTAACCCCAAAACTAAACGAGCCATAAAATTATGAAAACAAGTCCAAACTAGAGTTAGGAACAGAGAGGAATTGCAAAAGCGAAATAATTTTTATTATGTAATTAAGATGTTCACAAAAGATGCGAACGGGGCGGAGCAATTAAGGCGCACATAAAAACTAACAGCAAGAAAACAGAAGCAGAAACTGGAAAAAAACAACACGAAAATCTGCAAAGGCGGAAAATGTGTATTGTGTTTAATTAAAACGGAGACACAGACATGAAAATCCAAATGAAGCCTACGCGCAATTAAAATTCACGATTATGAAACGTAAAAGTAAAAACTAAATCGACTAGAAAATACCTTTTAAAACAATTTGTAAAATAAATATTAGAGAAAAGAAAATACTTATCAAGTACAGTGAACGAATAAACAAGTTACAATCACCTCTTTCAAACCACCTACAAACACATACTACCTCACTTCTGCAATAAGCCATCTGCAGGGTATGCAAGCAACGCAAAAACAATCCACAAATTAAGCTTGTCAGCCAAATGGGCAAAAGGGAAGCCAAATAAAATAGTTACTTCCGCTCGTAACCGCAAACATGGTTGTTGTGGTCGAAGCTGTAGGGGTCGTGGGAGGTAACAAGTGTTTGCTGCTAGTTAGCTCCGCGACAGCCTAATATTAGTAATTATCAAATTTATTTTAATTGACGAATCGCCTGCGGTTACCATTAACTAGCAATTGTACACTTCTTTTCTCTTATACACCAACACATTCACTGCAAGGTGGCAACGTCGGACAATACACACATACATATGTACATGCATTAAAGCTTAAGAATGCATATGAATGCGTATAGTTATAATTATAACGGCATACTTTTCCCATTGAAGACTCGTGTCAAATGGGAAACATAATTATTCAACTAATGCAAGTTGCATTACTATAATTTACATTTATGTATTTAGTGCTTTTGACAGCCTACTTACGCAATAAAATTATAATTTGGCGCGCTTTAAGATTTGCGACACTGACACAATTCCCAGCTCAACGACTCTCACAGCTTGCTAACATAATGCTTAATATTGCACTTAAGCCACAATTTACACGAGTGTACATAACAAAATCCAATTTATATATGCTATATACATTTATATATGTATGTATACACTTAATTAAACAACAACGTCGTCCACTGCCGCGCTGTGCCTAATATATCGATCTTTGCTTTGATTTCTTATTTGTCAGCGTTGCCCACTCGCCCGCCACCCAGAGTTGCATTCGCATTATTTCTTCACTCTTTATGAGCACTTCCTTAAATTTAAAAAATAAAAAAAATCAAATAGGACAATTTTACTTCCGATTTGTCGTTTCTACGTATTAAATTGTTAGCTGTTGACAATAAGACAATGGAACACCCAAATGCATTGTGAGACTGTGATAAATCTGGTTTGGCCAAAAACACACAACAAAACAGAGAGATCAAACGAGATGAGGCGGCAACTAGAAATAGGGCCTATCGCCCAAGCCGTAACAATTTCTAACAAATAAAATGTTTATCATTTGTTTTGTGACATGCACAACGGGGTGTGCGAATTACAGTCGAGCCCTGGACACAGACCTGACTGCCCTCGTCCTGTCGTCCCTTTGCGGCTGAGCCTGATAATGACATTACCCAGCGGCCAAGCACTGCATGACGTCACAGCGCTGCCGCACCAGGTAAACGCTGGATACCCTCACCAAACCACTGGCATTCAACAGTTATACTGCATTTTTCTATTTATGCCTCATTCACATTTTTTGTAGGTCACAAACATAAAGCGACAAATTGACGCAAACATTTAACACACACATTGCTCCGCCCCTCCCCAACAAAGATCGCAGAGCGCAATGCTCAGGACATGGTCAACAGGGCTGTAGAAGGGCCTGCAGCAGGGCGTTGGCGGCTTCTCTTGATGGTGGAACACCTACGAAAAAATTCCTTTGAATTACGTTGTTGCAGCGCTAGCCAGCCTGCCTGCGTGCATGTATGTGTGTGGGTTTTTTTTTTGTTAGGCCCTAAGCTATGCGCAAAAAAGGACATCTTCACTGGCTGTGCACTCCATTATGCATTTTATGTGCGCCCTCATTCAGTGTCTGTTGACATTTTTATTCCAAGCAGTTAAGCAATATTTCCACTAACGTGTGGCCGGATCGGAGTCCAACAATCTATAAATGTATGCATGTATATAAACAGCAGGCAGAAGAGCTCCACTAATCTATCCCATCTTAAATCCTTACAGCCTGCCTTCTAATAGGTGCCTTGATATACCTCAAGCTGTTTTCTATGCTAATTCGCTGTTAATGGATGCACAAACATTTCGGTATTTATTGTTGTTGGCTTCTCGCAGTGGGCAGGACTTGAAGGCATCTTGAATGGAGGGCTTATTTAATTAAATCAAAATATTTTTGCACGCACCAATTCAATTTACATTGTTTATATAGAACAGGAGCCAGTGTGATTGCCGCAGGTGAAAATGCCAGCAGTTGTATCATTTATATTATTGTAAAATCTTCTTTAGCCAACTTGAGATGTTGCTGTTGTTTTTGTTGCAGGGTCGCCCGCCCAGTGAGCAATTTGCCGGACAAATGGTTTTTGCTGTAATTACGAACATTTCTCTCTTTCTTTTTGTGCTCTTTGTATTTGTCGGCCTCTTGGCGTCTACTAATTATCACATTTTTACTCATTAAAGTCACATTTGCCTTACAGGACCTGTCGCTGCGAGTCCTGGCTGTCCTGGCTGTTGCTGCTGCTACTGCTGCTACTGCTGCTACTACGGTTTGCTTAATTATAGGGCCAAAAGGCAAAGCGGCGTCTGCTACTTACAACTTGCTAGGTAATCAGCCTTTCAGTCGTTTTGGCTACCGTATTAAAAGGACGACCGCTTGATGATGATTGATTAGGCGCTGGCCAAGTTGAACCAACCCAAGCCAAGCCTAGCCGAGTCAATCACCGATGAGCTTCTTATGTAGGCCAAGCATCTTTTGCATCTGCTCAGCTGCGACAACTGTGCAAATGCAGCGCGTGGCTAAGAGACCCACGGAGCGGGGCAGCTGTAGCTGTAGCTGAGGCTAAACAACAAATCGAAAACTGATTTGGAGCGGAAGTTCGTTTGCACCTTTCAGCAGTTTCCTGTGTGTGCAAAGCAACAACAACGACAACCACAACAACAGCAACAACTATACAAACGCTCACACATCTGTACACATATGTATATATAGTAGTGTGTTTGTATGTAGCACACGCATGTCAAGACTTCATTTGTGATTTGCGCTACTTCGACGTTTGGCCTTTGACGCCGCATTCCTTTGTCTTGGAACTGAACGGAACGCAACGGAACGGGCGGTGCGAGCGCGCGATATATTCGCAAATCAAAAGCTATATAGATTAAGATTGCCCTCCTTTGTATATATAGGGAAACGCAAAGGATCTGGGCATATATATGCAAAGCGCTGCCAAGGAGCAGCTGTCGCCGTTGTTTGATTTGCGATTGCGACGCTGGCGGAAATGGAATGACACGCAAGGCACAAAGGCAGCCCGACAGCCCAGCCCAAGCCAGGCCAAGGCAGCCAGCCAGTCAATCAGCCACTCCACGTCTTTGTTTGGCAGCTCGTCGCAAAAAGATTGGCAAAATGGAAATCGAAATTTACAAGAAAAAAAAAACCGAATATAATTGAAATTGAACTAGAAATACTCTTGCTTAGATAGAGTCAAGATGATAGCAGAAACTAGAAATAATTTTGTTAACTGGTAGAAAGTGTTCTTTACTGCTTGATTATAATCATATGATATTTTTCAAACAATGATATGATAGAGCAGACACATTGATATTATCGTTTCACGATCGACAGTTATATGTGTTAGCTCTGGCTAAGACGGATGGATTCAGCTTGAATCCATAAGATGACAATTACAAGTGCGAAAAATATTGTAACATTAACTTGGAGACGCTTCCTTCACAGCGTTACAAATCTCATTGGAAATGTACACGACTTTCTGTCAGTGTGCGGCAAATTCTATTTCACCAAACACACGCACTGCTGACAGCAGGGAAGAGCGAGGGCCAGCTAAGCGGACTGCCTGGCATGCTTATAGTAAATACTATATGTATGTGCATTTATGCTGTGTGTGTATGGCTAGTAATCGGATATGATTGCCACTGACTAACAATCAAAAATATATATTCTTTACAGAGTTTTCCGAGCGACTGCACATGGCAATGCAGCCCATGCTAATGCTAATGCTAATGCCCCTGCCCCTTGCATTAGCCCCAGTCCCTTCCTCATGTTTTGTGTGCACAATCAGCGCGCGCTGGCATCAGCAGCTGCTGCTGATTCGTTTACTGTCGTTGCTGCTGCTGCTGCTGCTGTTGTTGCAACAAGGTGTAAACATGACCAGCGCGTGTCCTAAGGAAGTGGCGCGCACTTGATGTCTCATTATTACAATGCTTCACACAAGTTAATGATGCGCGCTTGTGCTTGCTTCCGTGTGTCACAATTATGCGAGGCAGCTGAGCTTGAAGCGCGGGTCGGCGTCGCGGGGTCGATTCGTTGACCTCTGCAGCCACTGCCAAAAAGCAACTATAAATGCCGGATTGGGGTGAAGGCAAACAATTCCAGCTTGGTTTTATGTGCCATCATAAATGTCAGGTGCGTAGGTCATTCCACCAAAAATTTATTCAACATAATTAGTTGTGGCAATTACAGCAGACGTTGGGCACAATGTGCGGCAGCTAATTTGATTTTGAAACTCGGACCAATTGTGACTAATGAGCGGCGCACACATTGCTAATGCAAACACGGACCAGACAAATACTATAAAACCAATCCCAAGTGGAAGGATGAAAGCTTGCCCCAAAGCCCATACACCCCACTTTGACACCTCCTAAGCAGGGCATCTAAATTGGTTTTGCCTCGGGCCATGTGGCCAGAAACATGATTTAAGATAGACACTAAAGCATTTACACCTGCAGCTGCCACGCCCCTGCGCTCACGTGCTCAACATAAAGGAAGCACAGAGAAGAAAACAAAAATGCATAAGCGATTATTTGTAGAGTGCGCGTGCTCGGCCGCAGGACATCAGTGAGCTACAAAAACCAGGCCAAAAAATGGATTTTAGGAATTGTTATCAGCACATTTCGTGACTATGGCTAAAAATATTGAAGCAGCGCAACCAATACTCTGTGTGTGTGTGTGTGGATGTGGGAGGGTGTGCTGGTGTGTGTTTGGGGACAGTTGCAGTTGGGGCTGTGCCAATTCGTGTTCACGTCGTTATCCTTGCCCCGGATGCACAACAATCAAAATAAACTGCTGCCAAATTGACCATTGACCAAACATCGTCAACAGCAACAGTAGCCATTCTCGGCAGTCCCCCCTACGCCGCCTCCTTGGCATTGTCACGTCCTTGGCATGGGCCACAAGTCAAAACGAGCAGCAGCAACAGCAAAAGGAGAAAAAGGCCAAACATGCAGTTTGGGCAACTTGGCAATTTTTGTGTATGCTGCAATGATTGGATATAGATAGTTCGACAGCTAGATAGCTGCTATATAATCAAACGTTGGGTCTTTAGCAATGGATAACCCAAATCGATTGGCTTTATGCCAACTCCAAGTTGGGTAAGTTAGGCAAACAACAATAATGGCCAGGATGATATATCATATCAGAAGACTGACGATGCAAGCAGGAACTCTGACTAACTTCTAGAACTATGATCGAGCTCATAAGAAGCTATCTTGAGGCACATTCACACCTTCATGCTGCAGTTGCCCCTTTTTTAGCTGGAAAAATTGCAAAAGGCTGCCGTTCGAGCGTTCTAAAGTGTCCGTTGTTTTTGTTCATGCGATTTGCGATGTAATTGTGGAATAATGGAATCGCTAAAGAGATTCCAACTGCAACATCAAGCATCACCGGGACGCGTCGTCTGGTCCATTTATGGATTGGCATTGATTTAATACCGCATCCATGAGACGATCTATGCGCTGGATGACTCGTATCCCCAGAGTCCAAGGCGCAAGGCATTTTGCACCTACCTACATACATATATCTAGAAATATATCTATATGTATATACATATATGAGGAAGCGAACGAACGTACGCAGCTGATCTGATTCCTTCGCTGTTCTTTTTCCTTTATCAATGCTGCCAGATCAGCAGAGCAGACGCCACCGAAGTGGGTATTGGGGATTGGGGCAACGTGGGGACTGGTCATTGGAGCGCCTGCACAAATGTTTATTCAATAAACCCGATTCGCCAGCTGGCCGTGCCGACCAGTGCCTTCGCCGTCTCCAGACATTCCCCATTCAAGACAAGCCGCTGGAATTTCTTGGTGCGTGCTTGGCACAGGTTCAGGCTGTGCCCAGGCTCCAGCTTGCAGCATTTGGCGTCTGCCAGCTGCGCCGTCGCACTGCGTCCGCTGATTATGATAATGGAGGCGACTCTCGACCACAACTCGCCACTCGCCACTCGTCACTCTCGGCTCACAGCTCGCAGCTCGCAGCTCGTCGCCAATTGCTTTCGTTTATGATCGAATGCTTGGCAGCTCCGTTGACTTTCTGATTAATGCAAGAATTCTACGCAGCGTTCCTTCAGCTACAGCTTCTGTTCAGTGTTTTTTGTTGTTTTTGTGCTGCTCTCCGATCAGCCTGCAATTAAAAGCCATGTACCTTTCGATAGCCAGCTAAATGGCAAGTGTGCAAATCATTATATACACACGATCATGCCGCAAATGCCTGATGAGCTGCACGAGAGCAGCTCAATGAGTCTTACTGCAGCTGGTCGGCTGACTTTAATATAGTATACCATATCGACTATATCCCTCGACGTTTTCGAAAGGATAGCACTCTCCTGTAATCATAGTTGCCAAGTATTTCCAGATTGAATCACGAGCCGAGCCACTGTCAGAACATTCATGAAAACACAAATCGACTTTCGAGGATAGAGAAAGCCAAATTATAGATCAAAACATAAGTGGAATCATAAAGTCAGAAGCATGATTCAGTCAGAGATTTATGTAGATCAAACAATGGAAGGAAGGTATAGAAAGAAAGAAGTAAAAGTGTGGAAATAGAGATAGGAGAGAGAAACATAAGCCCATGCTGAATATTTTTATAAAAGTCGTAAGAATTCAGCCGGGTTAGAGCATCCCTGCTTCGATATGGATCAACAGCTTTGCACGCTTAAATTCCTGGACTCAGCTGCAGCTCTTACTGGTTCTGGCGTCGCCCGCTGAGTGTGCGAATGTGTGAGTGAGAGACCAGATGCACAACTGTCGATCGACAGCCGGGAGCTAAGAGCTTCGAGCTGCAAGCCGACAACCCACAGTCGAGAGTGGACAGTCGACAGCCTCGTGCCTGCAGTTGTCATAACGTTCAACACGTTTGCCGCCCCTCGTCTTGGCTGTGGATGGCTGCACCCGGCGCCGTCTCCATGCCCGGCTGTTGCTTCTGCGCTTCCATAAAAGGATTTGTCACGTGCGAGCTTTTGTTAAAAATTCAGCAATCATCAAGCAATCGCAATCTCTCCATTGTATCGATGTCGGCATCGGCCATCGCCCATCGGCTTCGCTTGCATTATGCATGGCACATGGCACAGCTCCTGCCTGGTTGGTAGCGGCATTCCTGCTTTAATTCAAGCAGCGTCCCAAACAAGGACTTGCTCCTAGCGTCCATATGGTCCAACGCATCATGGACGACGCCTCGTGCCCGACACCCCCTCAACGAGCACGCCCTGCTGGCCAATCATTGAAATTTATAATTAAGTACAAAAATGTTGTGTAAGTTGTTGCCTATGAGGCAGCTAAAGATCGTTTAGCTCTGATAAGAGATGGCTATTGATGTTCTTTTTGCAGAAGAACGCCGACGACAGGATCTGAGAGATGCCAAAGATAGAACACAGCCCTAGCGGTCTACCTCCAGCTGAATCGCACCTCATAATGGTGTCTAGCTATTAATAGAGTTATCTGGGAGGTGCTTAGGTAAGTTTTCTAAGAGATGCTTGAAGTTTCCTGAATAAATAACAATGATCCAGTTTTAAAGGCTACTGATAATAGGAGACAAACATAAATGTCCATTATCCACTTTTGAAGGGTATACAAATAGTCATAGGTCTAATGCGGTCTATTAACAGGAGCTAATTCCCAATTCGGATGCCAGCAATGGCTTGTTGTGTGGTTCTGATGGGTTTTGGCCAAGCGGCAGATGAATGAGCTGTGCCATTGACAATTACCGTTACGCACACACACACACACACACACAAACACGAACACAAGGGTAAATAGAGGCTTTGTGATGGCCCTGGCTAATTCATGACTTTGAGGACTCTTTGGGCAAACAATTGAAAAGCAAGACGAAGACCAAAATACACTTGACATTCATTATGCATGTGTGTGTGAATGTGAGTGTGTGGTTGTGTGTGCCAATCAAGCGTAGAATCAATCAAATTGCAATAGAATTGTCAATGGCCACAGCAAACATTAAAAAGAAATATTGTAAACTACTCAGAGTGAAAGCCTTTGCAGGATCCATTTGAAAAAAGAAGGACTTCCACAAGACACCAAATTCGTATTAAGGCCGGGGCATGGGCATGCTCATAGTCCAGTGCTAGAGCCAACAACAGCCAGTTGGCGACGGGCGAGGGACAACGGGAAACTGGCCTGTTCTGTCGTTCACAGGTAAACACAAATCCTAACAACGTGTCCTGGCCAGGGGACGATGCTGCATTTATTTGGCGAGTGCGAATGGACTTTTTGCATGTGCCACAGTGCAAACAGAAGAAAAACAGAAGAGAAGAACTGACGACAGAGCAACGACTGCATAATACTCTGGCTAAAGGCACACAGTGTCTCGAATGCCGAATTCGAAACGAATGACTGTTAAAAGTGGGGTTCGAGAAATAAATGTGGTAGATAAAATTATAAATATTCATATTCATATTCTTCATATCGTAAAGCACCAGAAGCTGGAAACTTCATTAGCTAAACTTAAGAGACTGTGGATTAGCCTCTGAGTAAATATTTAAATTTTAAACAAAAGAGAAATGATTGGGTACATTGGTATAATAGCACATTACTATAACTATCCAATTGATATATATTATTTGAAACAAACTAAATTAGCTTGAGTAACAACTACCATCGTTATTTGAAATGCTTTCCCCAGCGAATATACCCCTCGGCACTTCTGAGACATCCGAGAGTGTAACAAAAATGCTAGCTATAGCTACAACTGCTGTTTGGACACGAGCCTACACTTCGGAACAAGCAGCAAATGGGACATGCACCTGTGTTTGCACTCAAATCCCGTTGTTTGTTTCGTGCGGCACGAGAGACAGAGAGGTTCGTGCAGCAGTAACAGCAACAAGGAAGGGGCGCATGGCTATTCGATTTGGATGCACTTACCACGTTGACAAAGTCCTGGAACGTCACATAGCCAGGTCCGACGGGCAGTTGGGCCTTCTTCGCACGCTCCAGCAACAGTTCACGCTTGTTCATAGGCACTTGGGAAACAAACTCCGGCGATCTCAGGGCAACCAAAAACTCGCTAACAGATATTTCACCAAAGCCCTCCGGATCGAACTGAAAGATGACAGATTAAATATATATAAATTATAAATATGTATGTATTCTATATACAAATAGATATATATGTTATAGAGCGTTTGCTTACCATATCAAATAAAAGTTTCCATTTCTGTTGGGAAGAATGATGGCAAGAAAATAGTGTTTAAATAAGTTTTCATATTTATATATATACATATACATGTATACACTCAGAGAAAAGGTAAAGTAACTTGTGCTCAAATGAGATACATATGTTTTAATAGCCAAGACTCAGAATCCAATTTTTCTCTGAGTGTAGACTAAACGAGCAGCAAACTCACGTCTCTTAGCAGCTCTCGGCGCAGCTCCGCCTCATCAAAATCGGAGTTAAGCGAGGTGTGCTCCGTATCATAGCCGGCATCATTTGTGCACTGCAGTAGGAGAAGCAAATTAAGAAGACTAACTAAAAAGTTTTGTGCCAATCAAAAACGGGATACTCACATAGCGCATCTGTGTGTGCGACAATGTGCCAATGGAGGCCAATGAACCGGCTATGGTCGATATGTGCTCAATGTCCGCCAGTGTCTCCTGCTGACTACTACCGCCCGCGTTCTGTTGGCTGGTGGGCAGCTCCAAGGCTCGCGAGCTGCCTCGCTCGGAGCCGGGCCACATCTCTGCCAGAGTCCGTAGTGCGCTCCAGGATTGTTAACGAAATGCGTATGGTGCTCGTTGCTGGTGTTATTTGGTAGTGATTGCGATTAGAATTTTCTGTAGATTAGGCAAATCGGGTAAATTATTTCTGATCTTAGTCTTTAATAACTTTTTTTTATTAAAATAAGTTTTATTGTAAGCAAATGTACAATAAAACCCACAAATTTTGAATCTTTAAAACTCCCAGATAATAAATTTGAATTTAATTTTTATTTAACAGATTTTCATTCATTTTTTGTACACTAAAAAGCACTGTGTAAACTTTTCCTCTTCAAGCTTTTTATTTCTCAACAATTGGTTTATTTCAAATACTAAAATGGCGCCCATGTGGTTGAGGTCGTTTTGGTTGAGTGTATAGAGTTGGCACAACGCGAGCGTATGTCGGCTGGAGTTCGCGGTTCGAACCCCGGTTGGGACACGCACGAACGAACAAGCTTTTATAAATTTTATTTCGCCCTACAAACATCTTTCGCTGCAATTTGTCGTGTTTGGAATTGCTGCAAACGCTTTGCAATGGGCCAGAGTAAATGATTATTCCGTTTAATCATAGGCTAAACGGTTCTCAATACCTTAGCCTATTTCATGCCCGGAATACAGTTTGATTTTTTGGTTTTGTTTACAGTTATTGCATTGCATTTGTGTGCTGGCCATGGCAACCGAAGCTCCCCCTATTCTGCTTTTAGCAAGGTTATTGATCTGCGTTAGCGGAAGTAACTGAACTCTTCTTGCAGGGCCGGCAAAATGGGCAAACACACGGCGAATGCATTTTCACTTTGTTGTTATTTTCCCCACTCTTTGCTTTACTCACATTTCGAGCACTTCCGTTGCCATGCGAACTGCGCAGAATCCGTTTCGGACGTTTTGTTGTGCCTTTTGTTTTCCGTCTCTTCTTCCACTGTTGTTGACTTTGTTCAATAAACTTATGAACTGTTTTCCTTTCAAAGAGGGAAAGCAATAAACAAACTGTGAATTGGCGAAATCACAATGAGGAAATTACCTTTTGTAATCACGTCTTTATACCGTGTTTATTGTATTAGCGTTTTGAAATGTTTGCCACGCAACAACAAAACAAAAACGAACACTCGGCCGGGCGGTAAAATTGCAACTGACAGCAGTAAAGTCTGTAGTGAGAGCAGAAGAGAGCGCAAGCAGCACATGGCGAAGGGTTGCTGGTGGGCGAGCGGCCATCTCTCTCTCTCTATGGTCCATGGGTGTGTGTGTATGTGGGGTTACTTTGCACTTGCTGCACATGCGCGACACGATTGTTCGATTTTCAACTCGTTGGCATTTCATGTCCCACCAACGCCAACAACAATTACGCACACCCTCTCAGCTCTCCAAGAACCACCCTATGACGTAATTGACAAGCTGTAAAGCATTTGCAGACTGCTGCAATTTGCACGCATACATACGCATACAGATGAGTGTGAGTGTGTGTGTTGGTATGGGTAAAAGCCTTTAGAAAAGCCTTTGTAGATCCCAGAGGGAACTACATAAAATGTTAACAAAATAACTTAAATTAAAAACGGGGGCTATCTGAAAGGCTTGCAGTATATACTAGGAAGGATAATTTAAATAAATATATATGCACAGATATATAATTTAGTCACTCGAAATCGTTTCAGACCATCCTCGCAAAATTATAATAATGTGTACAATGAAACACACTTATGTATGCATACATACATATATACATTTAATTATCCTAGACTTTTAAGCATATAAATTTACAATGAACATGCAAAAAACTGGAAAAAATTGGATATTATTATATTATTGTTGAAAGGAACTAATCGAAAAACATTTGCATTTTTGAACACAAAGCGGACAAGTTAAACGGTGTTGCATACAGCTTACCCTACCTTTTTAACTCTAATTCTAAAATGAAATAAAAAAGAAAACAAATCGAGCAGACATATTCAATAGCTAAATTTTAATACTAATTTATAAATATATATATTTATATATATATTTAGATATACGAAAGACTTCCGTTGTATGGAATCAGTTAAAGTTCTTCTATTTAATATGCAGATACATCGTTTGCCTTTTCCTTCCTTCTTTCTTTTTTCATTAACAATATTTACAGTTTTTCCGACAGGGTCTTAAAAAAAATCGCTCGTTTGCTTACAACATGATATATAGCTATATACCGTATATATAAACTATAATATTTATTATAATAGATATATTTAGCGTTCCATTTTATTTTATCTAACTCTCAGTTAAACACGCTTTGCTAAATTACTCCCATATTTTTAAAATATTTTTGTTTTCTTTTCTTTTTCTTTTTGCTTCTCTTGTTTAAGTAAACATAAAAATCGAGGAAGAATCTGAACGATATAACACTTGCGCTGTTGCCTCTAGAAACACATACAAAACAGTACAACAAACTTGAACCTATCGTAATTCTAGACGACAGTCCATTATATCTGATTTAACCCTCCACCATGCGCTCTATGCCCATGTCGCATTGCTCGATGACCAAGCGAGCTATGCGCTTGATCTCACAGTAAGGGCTCTCGTGCTCGATTAGTTCTGTTAGGATTTGTATGCCATTCTCCTGCTCCACCAGCTGGCAATACTTATCCGGGTAGACCTGAGAAATATTAATCGATGAGTTTACAAAAGGATTTTACATAGAGTTCCTCCCTCTCTCACCTGTGTAAGATTGGCCAGCGCCCAGACGGCCCAGTGCTGGCATTCGGGCGTCTCATAGCAGCGGACCAGACTCAAAATAGGTTCAAAGCTGCGATAGTTGATGTTCCGTTCACTCTTGATGTTCCAACGCTGAATGGCAGCGACCATGCGTTCAAGGACGTGTTGTCGTGTTGGCGTCTTGATAGTCCACGCATCGGGGCCATCGGATGCAATGTGCGCCAGCACTCCAGCCGCATTGTAGCTGACCTGGAAGCGCAGTTGGTTAGGATTGTCATTGGCTAGTCTTCCACCACCAAGCTGACCCACCTCGATACCATCGCTCACTGAATCAAGCAGGCGAGCAAACACTTCAATAAATTCCTGTGTCATCAATTTCGGGCGAAGCCATTTAACTTCGGCCACATTACCCAGCAGACCCATCATGTTTCTTAAAAGCTCGTCCCGATCGGGAAAGGTCTATAGGAAGACATATTGAAAATAGGCATTCAAATTGAATTAAGTTGCGATGGTGCTAATGGCTCACATTTAAACACTTAAGGAAATACTCCATGCCGCGTCCGTCTAGAAATCTCTTACAATTAATAGCAGTCTCATCGGTTACATTCCACATGGTCGACCACGCCACTTCCATGACATCATCAAAAACTGAGCGTGTTAACCGATCTTTGATGAGTGTCAGCATTGTCTGCGAACAGATTAAACGATAAATATATATTTCACGTGGATATCGTTGGTTTATATAGCCTTACGCTGACCACTCCCAGTTCGCCTAGGAATAGTTTCTGCCGACCATCCACCTGACAGGCGAGCGTGTTCAGCAAATATATAGCAATGCGTTGCACAAAGCCTTCCTGCTCCGTTTTTGACACACCATGCAGCAATATCTTAATAAGCCGCTCATACTCAAAGAGCTGACAATTGCAAAAAGATTATTAGTAAGTATTATTAATCTCAGAGTGGAATCCTAAAGACCTACCACATCGACTGGCATGTGAAACTGCGTCAGCGTTAGATAGCCATTGCGCAGCATTGTATCATCTGTTAGATGCATCTCCATGCCATTGAGTAGGGTCCTTATAATATGATTGCGCAGCAGTGTGCCAAACTTTGAACGATCGCGTCCTTTGACTATGTAGAAGAGTGTGGCGCTATAAGCAAGAGATACAGATTAAATTAAAAATTCGACTTATACTCAATAACTAAAACCAAGTCATAAAAACATTGCATTTTCATATTAAAGAGACTTTCTGCCACGTACATACCTGCCCGATATTTGCATGTGCTTGAATTTCAGATGCCTATCCATAGCACATAGCACGACATCCAGCGCTGTGTGTATGTCCTTGCAGTTCTCAAATCGAAACAGATGATAGAGATCATTCAGGACCTACGAGAAACATAGAGGAGAAGATGGTAGTATATAGGCTAGATGACTATTGAATTCGACTCGCTCTTACCCTTGTCAGCAGCACCGGTCTGTCGTGATAGTAACGTGCCGCTGTGAGTATTTGCTGTTCATTGGCATCGCCGGCCACCTCCAGGGCGGGTATATCGTGTCGCTTGCACGCCCAATGCGCCGTGTGATACAGCCCAAGAAATTGTAGCGGGCGCTGAGTACGAGACGCTAATCCCGGTATATCGGTGGGTCCAAAGTGTTGCTCTGTCTTGGTATTCATACTCGTCGACTCCTTGGTGGCCACGCCATTGCCCGCCAAATTCGTGCCCGAGATATCTAAGTGTGTCAAATGACGCAAATTATCCATGAGCATAACGAGCGTCTGATCGGGCAGATCATAAACGCCATGACCATTGCCCGAACTCGATATTGAAATATCCAAAGTGGTAAGGCGACGCAAGCAGCAAATCGCATGCAACTGATTAGCAATGGGCCAGACATTAAATAGAATGAGCGTGTGCAGGTTGGGCAGCATGCCAAGCGCCTCCAGACTAAAGTTCGCTAGCACGCAGGATGTGAGATCCAAGTGACTGAGGTCCTGCAAGTGGGCAAACTGCAATCGATGATGCATGACCACGCCATTGAGCACCAGACGGCGCAAATGTGGGCAGGTCAATTGAAAGTCAACCGGCTCCTTTTCATTGGGTTCCGCATTTTGCAGCAGATGCGAACTAATGCCCAGCTCCAACGAGCGCAAACTGTCCCCATAATGGGCAAGCAGGTGATGTGATTGCACTGTGATCTTATCGCAGTACCACATGGACAAGGCGAATAGTTTGTGACGCATAAGCGTCTCCAGACCTAAAAGCAAAATCAACAGAGGAAGAGGTTAGCAAAATAGTCTATACCAATAAGTCCATCGTTAATACCCACCTTGGCTGGTCAGCGTGCTATACCGCAGATTTACAATTTTTAGTGATGTGCGACGGATGTCGCTAAATAAATTGATCACCCTATCATCGAGTGGTCTATGGAAGCGTTGGTAATTTTCCAGAAATGCATCGCATATCTCGTTTGTTAGGACAATGCCTGCATTCAGTGTACGTTGACCGCTTTCCGTATAGCCACTGATTATGTCCAGATTGTTACAAAGCTTCTGATAAGCGATCTCCTTTAGTGTTAACGGCTCCTCGTCCAGTGACCCATCCTCCATTAGCCGCACCTTGCAGCTCATCTTAAACAATTAATTCGACTTTATTTCTAATATTCTTTTATTATGCTTCTGCGCTGTGTCTCAATGATATCAATCCGAAGCGATTTCTTTGCGGATTGCTTTTGCGTCTCTGATTCTGTATCTGTGATGCAGGCCACTGGGATAGGAAAATACAACAGTATTACAAGACAATCCGTTCGTTTCAGATATAGTTAGAAAGAGAAATACTGGAATTTACGAATTGATTTATTCAAACACTGACTACAGCGCCAACATGATGTCATATTTGAAATATTGTCTAAATTGAACAAAAAAACAGAAAACAACCAGTAAAATGTCTAAGATGTCTATCTGAATTATCAGGTCCTGCATACATATGTACATATATAATGCTGAACAGCCAATGGAACGTTTCGGATATTGTGGCAGAAAGAAGTTGATAGAAGTCTTATTTGAATATATGCGTGTATAATAAGTATTATACATTTTGAGTTTGCTCATCACTGCAGGCAGTAAAACGTTTAGGAATAATTACCATAAACTAAATTGCAAATATATATACACATATGTGTATATGTATATAAAAGAAAGCTATCCGATGGGACTTTGCGTGCATTTCAAGGATTTATCTATGTAAGTACGCAAATTGAATGGTTTCTTAATCCAGGATCGTCGACACAGAAGCCATAATCCAAAGTTTTTGCCAGTTTATCCGAATTTTACTATTGAT